ATTTGTGTCTGCAGAGCTCAGGGGCAGGTGCTGAGCTGAGGCCAATGGTGCCCCTCCGACTGCTGAGCCAGGATTTGAAGAGATCTGCTTGTGGCAGGCAGTGCACCCTGATCAGTAAAAGGATGGCCCCAGGGATGGCAGAACTCCTCTGCCTGGCTGTGGGAAACTTTCTCACCTCTTGATTTGGAGAGAGCTCATTGTTCCTCTTTTGCTTCAGATTTGGCAGGAGCTCTGGTGCTCCTGACCCCAGGGCAGGGGGGTGGTAGCTGGTGCTTTCACAAGAAGGGGAGTTAGCTGGGTACACTCCAAGCCAAGGGCAGAAAAATCAACTTTTTGCATGCCAGAGAAGAGCAGCTTCCTGTTTGCAGCACTGGGGAATTTTCAATAAAATAAGTAAGGGCAGGAAAATCTGGGAAGACTTCTAGCATGTGAAACCTGAACATGTCTGGAAATGCCCAGACAGAAGGGAAAATAAAAGGTGTTCATGACCTTGCTTACATTACTATTGTGCCAAACACAGTGTGCCAAACATGGTGTCACTGAGTGGAGGCCAAATTGACAGAAACTGCAGAAATGTGCCCGATGTTACATAGTTTCCTTTATGGCTCTGGCAGAATTCCCCACCCTCTGCGTTGGTAGCCTTGAAACCAGTGAACACCAGTTATCCCCTTCCTATTCAGCCATCCTGTAAGTCTGAAACAAAAAGCCCTTGAAAACCACTTAGCAGCTGCCTACTGAGTGTTTTGATTGTGAAAATACAAAACAAAAGTCTTTATTACCAGCATATTAGGTGTTTCATTGAAAATACTGTTTTAGCGGATGTTGGCATAGGCTGTAAGCCTCTGAATACACTTATTCTGAGATTTTCCCTGGAAAGGGAGCAGTCAGGGATTTCCCTAGCTGACTTCTCAAGTGCCCCGCAGCAGAGAGCCCTTGTGCTTGGAAGTGAGCCATGCCCTCAGATCATAGGCTTGTTCCCTCTTCTGGGAATACTTGTGTATTTCCTCTGTGCACACAAGATGTCATGGCTGTATTTTCTGCAGCTCCAGCTGCAGTGGCCACTCGGAGGAGGAGCTGTCGGGAGCAAAAGCTGTGCTGACCTCTGCAGTCTGATAGACTTGTGAGTTTGGGGCTCACAGAAATTGTTTTCTCAGAAAAAAATACTTGCTTGTCATTCCCTCTTCCCATCAAAATACACATATAAATGCTTTCTTGGGATCCACAGAGGTCCATACTACAACCCTGGGGCACAATTGCAGTACAAATTTGGTGTATAAGCTTCCATGTGATTTTGGATTCTGGACTCTGGAAGACTGGCAGCAGAAATCTGTGCCACAACCATATGATGATCCCTGTTGTAGAATGTTCATATGGTTGACACTTCAAATGCAGTTCCTTCTCCGGTTTGCAGCTTTGACATCTCATTGTGGAAAAGTACTGCATATGACTATGACTATTGTTTTAAAATATTCTGCCATAATAAGCCTGTAGTGGCTAATTTTTCATATCCTGCTGATTTAAAAGAGCAATGAGGACAGTGAAGTGGTGCTAGAAATTCCGTAAAGACAGCTAACCCTGTAGTGTATTAAAGGAATACAAATAGCAGCTCAGGATTCATTATCACTCCAGTTCACTGCCTAACCAAGCAATCAGTTTTGAAGAGAAATAAGGACAATTCTTCCTGACCAGACTGAGGTAATTAGTGATAGAAATGGAGGGAAGCGGGAGGAGTTAGCATTGTGAGGCATGGAATTTTTAGGAAGGGGCAGAGAATTTGCTGGTCAGCCAGTATGGTACAGCTCTGAGGTCTGTTATCTGCTACTAAAAGAGAAGGTGCAGCACTATGGGGAAAACCTTATGTACTTTTTGCATGTAATAGTCATTAACCAGGTGTGTGTGCATCTCCATTTCCAAGACTAAAACAAGATATTTACTATGTCTTTACTGTTGCTGCTGTGTCTGTCTCCTCAGGTGTTACTTGTTCTATGAAATGTCTCTTGAAGTAAAGATATTTAGATAGGCATTTTTAAAATCAGGAACAGAAGGTGTAAATGTAGATCCCTATGGGTTGGGGTTTTTGAAGATTTTTGGGATATTTCAGCATGTGCAATCAAAATACTAGTTGTTTTCCATGAGATTAAGGTTGAGTCGCTACTAGCTAGTGCTGTTTTCACTGACTTCAAAGCCAAAGGAATACATGTGTTTTAGTGTAAATGTAAGTTTGGGTCATCTATAGATTTGAAGTATTACCAACTGTTACCTATTTAGCTAGATGGTTCAGATCTAGCATCTGAAAGTTAAGTAGCTTGTGGAGGCCCAGGGTGCTGGCTCTGTGTCTTTGACAAGCAGCAAGATTAAGGATGTTACAGACCAAAAGTAAAGAAATACAGCTTGATGTTTAGCTGGGTTTGGACTGAACAGGACTGGCTGAAAGGTGTGAGTGCAAAACAGACAAAAGGTGACATAATTGTTTTGTCAGGTAACAGTCACCATAGCAAGCAAACTTTACCATGCATGACAGGCTCCTCAAAGTCTTTCCACTGTGTTTCTTTTCCACGCAGCTTTTGTTACAACAGGTGTATTAAGGACTTTAGCTGCAGTGAACTGTGGTTCTGCAGGGTTTTTTCCAAAGTGTGCAGTGTTTTCACAGCCATACCTTTTCGTGCACATAATGTTAAATCAGCCTCATGTGATTTTTAGATTTCTCTGCCCACCCAAATACTGTGCATGTTTATTTTGTTGGACTTGCTGTTCATGCCAGGTCGCTGTGCTGAGCATGGTGTTACTGAGCCTTCCCAGAGCCTCTGGCTGTGGTGACCTCTGGAGCAGGCAAGAACCAAATTTACCCTACTCTGTTCTTCATATCAGTAGTGCCATGCCACAAACACATTAGGTCTGGCCTCTGCCAAGTCTGATGTTTTCTTGTTTATATTCTGTTGCAAGTAAAAATGGATTTTTTTTTTTCCTGTTTCTTTGCAGAACAGAGACTTTGACCGTAGACTGTACTGAGTCTTTCTGGCTGCTAAGATAGGATATAAAAAATGAAATTTATATTTGGGGTGGATGGCAGTGAGCTTTTAACTGGTAGGGAAAAAGATTGTATTATTTGAAAACACAGAGCATATTCCTTCAGTGAAAGGACGCACAAAGAATACTGATGATTTTTCATCAACAAGGCCCCTCTTATGTCCTTTTCAATTTTGCCGGTAAACCAGCGTCTGAGTCTCTTGGGATAAACTGCTGACTTGGAATATTTCCCCGTCTGACTTTGTGAAAGCCCTTCTGTAGCTGCTGAAGCCCGGCGGTCTCCTTGTCTCTGGCGATAAAAGGCTGCCCTAGTCAGGCCACTCTCGGAACTGCAGCCTGCTGAGCTGGGATTCAAGGACCATCCGTGTGGTCTGTTAAGAGCTGCGGAAGCTTTTAGGGTGTTCGTTCCCGGTGGGCTTGTGTGGGAGACAGCAGTCGTCTTGTTATTGAGATGAAACACAGCATACTCACTTAGCACTGCAGCAAAAACAAGAGGGAGAGGCCAGTCACTGCAAAGTGGTTCTGGGCAGCAAAGCACAGACAAATGTCTACATACAAACACATAAAGTTCCCAAGTGTAAGATTTGATACTGCAAAATCTGTGTCCCAGTTGAGCCCAGCTCCATGTCAGTCTTAAAAGTTGTTGTGTTTTTTTTTCTCCCAAATCTGATGGTTTTCTTCTCTGGGCTATCTGCTGTGAGGATGGGTCACGGGAAAAGCTCCTGGGTCTCCACACCAGCACAGTAACAGTCCCCTGTCAGTGTAGGAGTGGGCTGGGCAGCCTTCAGCTCTGAGCAGGGAGCTCCCCAGGGAGAAGCACCTGCCTCATGCCACATGCTTACCTGTGCTAGGAAATACTTTTTAAAGCCAGCTTAATCCCCTGTAATGCTGTAATGCTTGCTTCTGCTCAGAATTTCTGTCTCGTTCACTTTTTCCTTTCCTCATAGAGATACTTGTAATGTAAAAATACTATAAGGTACCTTGCTTCCATTTTGGCACACTTCATGTAATTAACTTTTGGTTCATAGTTAGCAAGTAAGTGTTAGTCACTATATCAGCATTTTAAGCCTCACTACTCTGGCTTGTTTGAAAGAGTCCTTCATAGAAAAAAATGCTCTTTCTTCTTCTGTATTTCTTGTATTTGCCCTTTTCTGTCTGTGCTCCTATCTCCTGTTCTTAACTTTTTCTCACTGCCACATGGACTTGACTTGCTGGCTCCATAAAAAGCTAGTCAGTTATTGTAATACAGACTTAAATTTATACTCAAGTATAAATTACTTGAGTAAATTTGAGGTAGTAGCTAAAATCAGTGGAATTGCTCAGAGGCTGGTGGAACACTGGCACAGGTTGCCCAGAGAGCTGGCAGGTGCCCCATCCCTGGAAACATTCAAGGGCAGGTCAGATGAGGCTCTGAGCAACCTGATCAACCTGATCTACTTGACAATGTCCCTGCTAGATGTCAGGCTAGATGACTTTTAGAGGTCCCTTCCAACCCAAACCATTCTGTGGTTCTCTGTGTAAAGAGAAATTTGTTTAGTAAAATATTTTTAATAGCAATGCTGGAATGGTATTTTTAATTAAAAGTTGTCACAATGTTTAAGTACCTTTGGTGGTTTTCTGTGCTGTCTCATTCAGGACACAGTAGGCATGTTCTAGGTATTCTTAAACTTTTATTTATGTATCTTTGTGCTTATTAGTGCGATTTAATGCATACAAGACTACAATCTACAAGAGAAGTTTGTTTGCTTTTTTTGTCTGCTGTATCTCTGATCATATAGTTTACAGTGGTGAATGTTATATCAATCTTTGGAGAATTTTAATGTAAGAACTACCTCCTGTATTATCCAAGTAGAAATAAGGGGAATATTTTCAGCCTGTCAACCCAGCACAGGACAACTGTTCATGCACTTTGCAAGCTGAATTGTTATTTCTGTTTTGAACATAGTTTTCTACCTCCTCTTTTCCTGGTCCAGGGAGAAGAAACTGAAGGCTAGAGTGCAGGAGTTAGTGAGTGCTTTGGAGAGGCTCACGAAGAGCAGTGAGATCAGACATCAGCAGTCAGCAGAATTTGTTAATGACCTTAAAAGGGCAAACAGGTAAAGGATCTACCAGCAGATGGACCTGCCATTGATTTTTTTTTTCTGTGTTCTGGCAATGCACTGTAATATTCCCCTTACCTTAATGAGAAGTTTATGGATCCTTGAATTCACACACATTGAGTCTTTAAGGCTCTAGTTAGAGATGTGGGAGGTATTAAACCTCCCATGTAGGCCACTGACAACTACACGGTTAAGAACAGAGGGAGGGAAATAGGTTAATCTTAACTGAGTTACTAGTAAATGCACTTACAGAAACAAACAAAACTCAGATTTATAAATCTGTTACTTTGTTTTAAACTTCTCTTTTTCCTTTGGCTCCAGCCTCTTCATTAATAAACTCTCTTGGATAATCACAGTTAAACTGTATTGCTTACTCAGGGCATTTTACTGGCCCTGTGTTTGGATGAACTAGGAATACAGTGGACTGCAGCTGCCTTCCTGCAAGGAACTATCACTCACAGTGTAGTTTTTCTTAAATTCTACCTGAAAGCCTTTGTGGTGAAAAGCAACATCCACCTCAAGCTTTCCTACTCAGTCAAGGTGGAGGCACAGAACCTACCCAGCAGCTGGTAAATTAGCACAAGATACCATCCTCTGAATGTAAATGTGATTTTTTAAAATGGAAAATGCAAAATCAATCCTGGATTTTCTAAAAAGATTCTGGCCATGAAGTGTTCTTATAAATCATTACATGTTTAATGTTGTGGTATCCTGACTCACAAACAGTGCTCTGCAAGGTCATCATCAGGAACCTCTATCTGGCTCTTTGAACCATGTTTAAACATACTTTCTTTACCAGTTTCCTGGTAGAGGTGTGGGCTTCCCCAGAAAAGACACAGACATTAGTATTGATCTGGATTTGGATCAATAAGGTTTGGATCTAATCCATTTTAAAGCACTGGTTAATTTCAGGAAGATTATCAGTACCCACACTTTGGAGTTTTCTGAAGGTAGGGTTTTGGGGTGGATTTTTTGTAACACTTGCTACGAACGAGCCTTTTTGAATTACCTTGTATTGCCTTGTGTTTTTAACAGCAACTTGGTAGCAGCTTATGAAAAAGCAAAGAAAAAGCATCAAAACAAGCTGAAGAAACTGGAATCACAAATGATGGCCATGGTGGAGAGACATGAAACACAAGTGAGGATGCTCAAACAAAGAATAGCTTTACTGGAAGAAGAGAACTCCAGACCACACACCAATGAAACTTCACTTTAAATGCATCTCTTTAAAGGATGCTTAGTGCCATTACAACTTTCTTTTGGAGGCTGCCTTTTAGGGAGCTTCAAACGCTAAAAGCTCTGTCAATGCTGACACACTTAAAGCACCTTCTCTGGGATCCCAGAGAGGTGTCATGGGGATAATAAAAATGTTAACCTTAAGAACTGTTTCATAATGTAAAATGGCAGTGCCTGAATTATCATGCTATAATTATGTACGTTGTCTGTGTCGTTATGTTTATATTCATACAGCTTCTCTTCCATTTTATATACGTCCCATGGGTGACAGTGTCACATAGCAAAATAATTAATTTTAAGAGGTTTTCATTTCAGTCATTTGGAGATCATTTGAGAGTTTTCCCAATCCCTGAGCTCCCTCTGCACACAAGTCCATATTGTGCCCTCAAGAAAGACTTGCTGTTGTGGTTAAACCAAACAAATGGGCAGCTGCAGAGAGGGGAGATGACAGGCTGCCTTGCTTTTTTGCACCCTATTTGCAATACTGCTGCTCACAGTGCAGATCAGGTGGGAAAATTCCTGTTGATTTGGAAAAAACCCCAAGAAACTCTCAGAGTTGCATCTCTGAGAACCATGATGATGGTGTATTTCTTACAGTTTGTAAGAGGGCTAAAGGCTGTGAGTTTCGCCACACCACGTAGATGGTCTGAGCCAAGGGTGGGTAAGAAATGATAGGAGACCTTCTGGTATTTATATTACATGGTGTTTGCAACTACTTTGTAGAAGAGTTGGTTTTTCTTGCTAACACATTATAGCCAAGGTTTTCTCTAAGAAGCTGGGCCATTTTTGTCACATGTATAGTACTTATTACAGCTTACTGTGATCAAGAGGTAGAACGTCTTTTTTTAATACTTTTTTTTGACCCAAAAAGGTACTTATTAGGAACGTACCTGTTTAATATCGAATACGTAGGCACAAAACTATAAATGTGTAGATGTATGGATATCCTGTCACAAACAGAATGTGAATGGTAAAGTCTTCTTATAGCTTCTTAGGTTAGTTTTTGTTACTGCTAACATTTTCTTCTTTCGTTTAAGTCACATCATATTGCTGTATTATCAAACTGACTGAATGGCAAATGTTGCCCTATTATATTAATGAACATTAAGCAAATCATGGGGATAAGGTTGATTTCTGTTGGGGTCAAAATACAGGAGTCTACCATAGCACCTGTTACGTTCAGATTCTTCTTCTTTTTGACAGAGTACGTAAAAGAGCTTCCATGTGTGTTTTAACATGGCAAACTAGAGTCAATTCACTGTGCTAGCCTGCTACTATGTTACACCTCTGCTTTGCTTTTTTCAGGCTTATTTCCTAGGGAATCTGATTTCAGGAGTCATTCATCCTTTTTGCTTCACATGTTGAGTGAGTTGCACCTCCAGTTTTACCAGTGTATTTAGAATTATGATAACTTCTCTCACTTATTCCTCCCATTTCTGGTACTAAGGAAATATTTTTAGACGACTTTAACTGTTTTTGTCTACCGTAGGGTTAGGCCAGGCAGCCAAAATATGGGAATTTGTGTTCAGAGTATGGCATTATTGTTACACCTTGGTTGCATCTGAAACTGTAGCAGTTGGTGTTCATCTCTTTCTACTGTAGCTGCTGTTGTCTTCTTTCCTTAGAGTAGTCATTCCTACTTCCCTAGAGCCTGATACTTCATCTACAAAGCCAGCATGACTGATTGCAACAGCAAGTTAAAACAATGCTGATTTCAAAATTTTTAGTTAGTAACATCCTGGAATTGGTTTTGATCAGTCCTCTTTCTCAAGCTAATTGCACTTAATTTACAATGTGAATGGAAATTTTTGCAAACCAGTCTGTTGAGGGAGGAGGCACATTGATTTCTGCTGCCTTTATGGTGTTGCTTGGCAGCTTTCTGTGGCATTTCCCTTTTTTGGCTAAGTTTCTCACCAACAGGAATGTGGGGTTTTGCCATAAGCTTCAGTTGTAGCTGAGCACACTTGTTTCACAAGAAACACAAAGGAAAATATCCACTATGTACTGTGGTAAAAATGCAATTACACTTTTGTCTTCTGGCATCTGAAACACCCATCTGATTTGAGGTAATCTCAAAATGTCCATGTGAAATACCTTTCAATGAAGAGGACTAGAAACAACTACTGCACTGGATTGCCTCTTAGGCTCTTTTTTTTTTTTTTTCTATTTAGAATAACAGAATCACACAATGATTTGGAAGGGACCTTAAAAGATCATCTTGTTCCAACTCCCCTGCTGTGGGCAGGGACATGTCCCTCTACACCAGGTTGCTTCAAGTCCCATTCAACCTGGCCTTGAACACTTCCACGGATGGAGCATCCGCAGCTTCTCTGGGCAGCCTGTTCCAGTGCCTCACCACCTTCACAGTAAAGAATTTATTCCCTAAAAAAATTTCTTAGTACCACTTGAATTTAAATCTGTCTTTAAATTATAGGTACAAATTAAGAAAGCATAAAACCACAGCAACACAGAATGGTTGGAAGGGACCACTGGTGGGGTCATCTGGTCCAACCTCCCTGCTCAAGCCGGGTTTCTTGGACCAGGTTACTCAGCATTGCATCCAGATGGTTCTGGAACATCTCCACTGAGGGAGACTCCACAAGCTCTCTGGTCAACCTGTTCCAGTGCTCAGTAATCCGCTCAGGAAAGAATTTGTTCCTCATATTGACGATCAGTTTCTGCCTGTTGCCTCTTGTCCCCTTGCTAGGCGCCCCAAGCAGAGCCTGGTTCATCCTCTGACCCATCCCTGCAGACACTGACAGACATTGATGAGGTCCCCTCTCAGTCCTGTCCTCTCAGGGCTGAACAGGCACCTGGGTTTAGAGGCATAAAAAACTGCAATTGTCCTCAGTGCTTTTCAGGCCTCAAGACTTGCTGATGTCGTTTCACTGCATTTACTGTGTATCTTTCCTGCCAACTGTGCTCTGAAAGTGCTTTAGAATTAATTATAAATCATCAGTAAATGTAAGCCTTTTTCTTCCCAGAGGGTTTGTAGATGAAAAAGAAACACTGATACCACACAGCCTCAGCAGCAGCAAGTTTGCCAGACCACCAGTTTAGTTTGCCCAAGCAAGCAGCTACTAATTGAATTGTTGGCATGCTGGAAAAGATCAGTAGAGAAGTGGTAAAAGGTTTAGTGCTAGTGTGAAAACTCTTCAATATTAATAATTAGCTGTAGTTCCAGTGTAGCCATTACAATGGCACCAACCCTGAGAATAAAAGCCAAAAAACTTAACTCTGTTCATGCAACTCTGAAATACCAGCACATGAGATTTATATAAGAGTGTGTGATGCGCCCTGAGTCACAGCAACTAAACTCTTCTAACATTTGCTGCAGAAATAATACATTGGAAAAACAAGAAATATAGGTGGTTCTTGCCAACAAAACCTAAGTCCACTCATGACTTTTTGATTTTTTAAGTCATCAGAGTGCATGAAACTTTGTATTTCACAGTGTGTTCAGAAGAAAAAAAAAATACTTTTTTTTTCTAATTATATGTATAAATCTTCACCAGCTTGAATGTACTGTTAGCTATTGCAAAGCACATGTGACTAAGTTTGCATTCATGTCAGTATTGTTCTACTGGTTTTATTAGGATTTTCTCCTCCTTTAATACTGCACCATACATTTTAACTTTATAAATTTTTCACCATACTGAATTAGCTTTAAATGTGTTGCTACTTTTCAGTTTCCTAGCAGCTGTAAAATAGCTATTTTGTGTTTATTTGATATAGAATTGTAAAAATTGCATTTATTTATACAGAGGCATTTATAATACTTATTTTACAAATGTTCTTATATTCTGAATAAATTTCTAATGCTGTTTCTTTGCCTTTGGCATTGTTTTACCATAACTTGTCATCTTATTGTTGAATGGGCCACCTCTAAGTATCCTAGACACAAAGGTACCTCATCTCCAAGGTAAGTTACTGAGGGAGATGGTGTGACATTGTCAAGAAAGTTTCCATTACAGAGCCACGAAAAGTTGGTGAGAACTCAGCTGAGATCTGACATATTGGTACTTCCCCCAAACCCTCTACAGCTTCAATGAACACTTTATAGAAACAAAAGGGCACATGTGAAACTGTTTCTACACATCCAGTTCTTTTAATAACAAGTTATATAGACCAAAAAAGAAAAAAATAATCTTTCATAAATACTCTAAAAGCACTGATTGAAGTTCACATACTTCCTTTCTCCAGTACATCCAACACCTTTTTATTTTCTTTTTCTTTCCATTGTGTTGAATGGGCTCCTCATCCACATTTGCTATTTACCTTAAAAAATAATACTTGTTTTCCTGGCATTATGTATAATCACTGCTGCTGACTGGCTTAAGACAACACCTAAACATTCTACAGTGAAAGAATAATCTGTAGCAGCAGCACACGCTTTACATTTCACAATGACCAGCAGTCCTTATATTCATACTTCAGTAAGTTTATTTATAAAGTGATTTAATTTTACAGAGAAAATATAGAAGAAAATGTCAACTTAGTCATAGTCTCTTAAATGGTGTGCTTCAGTTTCTGAACCAATTCATAACAAAATCACAATCATCAGTACAGCAGATGTTACAGGTAGTTACAGATTTTACTTAATACAATTCAAGGGTTAACTACTGCAAACTTTCTTCAAAAGAGCATAATGGAAATTTAATAAAATCTGTAATGATTTTAACCTTATTAGCTGTACATACTTTCTGCTTAATTAGCACTGATGTGCCACTTACATAAAAGCGAGGAAAACAGATCAAGTTCTTCAGCTTTAAACAAAGGAGGAGGAAGACATAACCCTTCATGCATGAGCCATATAATAAAACATTGGCTCCCTGTTTTCTGCCAGGCATGCAATGCTGCCCTGAAAAATGTTATTTTTTGGAAGCAATACCCAAGTCAGCCTGGATCCTGCATTATTATGCCAGAATTAATGGACAAGCCCCCATCTTCTTGTGTAGAGTCTTGTTTCACTTTTTAATTTTAAAAGTGCCTTGCAAATGCAGCTAAACTGCTCCTCAGGGATGAAGCACAACTTCCACATATTGTAGTGTCTTGCAGACATCCTTACTGAAGGATCCTGTTGCAAGTATAGGCATGAGAAGTATTTGCTGAGAGCTCTTGATCGTGCAGTTTTGCATACTTTTTCTGCATAACAAAACTATGTACCCAACCAGTAAGATACAAATGGTTAATTTCCATAGTTTAGTAATTTTGATCAAACATGCTTAAAATAATCTGCCAAGTTTTTTTTCTCACAGCAGGAAGTGTGTTGTAGAGAGCTGTGTTTGCAGGATCTGTATTCTTAAAAAGCTACAATTGCCTTTTTTAAAAATGATTAATGCTCCATGAGCTGTAATCATTTTCTTAAAGGTACTGAACTGTAAGCCATACTGGAAACAAGAAGCCAGTTCTTCTGATCAACAGTATAAATGCTTAAAAATGACAAAATACTCCATTTTCAGTAAAATTCTTAGGCCTATTCAAATTTAAACATTCTGTATTCCGTGAAATGTTAATCATTACTTAAAAGGAAGCTTTCTTTCTTTTCCTGCAAGAATTGAAGAAGGACTTGAAGAGAAGCATCCCAGAGCTGAGACAATTTAAAGATAAGGGCTTCTGTAAAGCTGAATCTGTACAAAAAGTTAAGTCTCACTTAACATTTTGAATGAAAACGCAAGTTAAAACCCAAGCATTTAACTTTATAGTACTACTTCTAATCTGGAATCTTCTATCATCTTGAATATGGCCATTGTAATTGCTCCTATGTAGTCTTCCTTTTAAGTCCATAATCTACATGAGAAAATGAAATGCACACACAGCACAAATCCTACTGCATCTATCAGTGCTTACATACAGGATTAAGAACAGTGCAAATACTAGCATTTAGCCTATTTTCTTGAACTACACTATTCCTATAAATGCATAAGAACAAAAACTTATTATGGAAGAATAGTGACATTTCCAAGTCTAATTTACTGTAAAAGCACCTTCAGTTAGTTTGTAGAAATTTACTGTATCTTAAATAATTTTGGTTGTTTCAAAAGTTAAAATACTGTAATAACAAAAACAATTTGAAATTATGAAGTCATGTATAAGCACCAGATTATTTAACGTTTACAGTGCAAGAATTAAAATTGGTTTATTTACAGAAATTAAATCATCAAGAGAGACTATTCTACCAATTCTCAATAATTATGAGCTTCCTAACATATTTAAGAGTATAACCTCCAAACTTAACACATGAAGGCACCTGACTTTACATCTGGAGGAAAAACCTGTTGCTCAGAATTTATAAAAAAACCCCAGGTATCTGAGGATTAAGCAGCCCACTAACCCCACAACTGGGCAGCCAGTGCTGGCAGCCATGGAGCAGCAGTGCTGTCTTGCACCACAGGATATCAGAGCCTGGATTTTTAATGTAGACTCTTGCTCTTCACACCAGAATGACATGAGTGCAAAAGCAAGTCTTCTACAGCAAGTAAAGGTTGGAAAAAATAACTTATCTGAAATTACAATCTGAGACCAAGTATGTTAGAAATAGTCAGACGAAAAGCCTGCCTTATTTTTAAAAGGAACTGTTACATCTATAACAGCCACAGGTAGATCAAGGTAAAACACAGTGTATTGTTCTCAAATCACCAAATTAATTCAGGAAGGTTGGAGCAGAGCACAGAAGCCTGGAACAGAGACTAGGCCCAAAATTTTATTAGAAACTATTTATGGAAGTTTGGTCTAAAGAATTTACATTGTGTTAAAAAAAATACTTTGATTGTGCAACAAATAAAGCTATTTCCCCTCTTCTTCCTATAACCACTGCTGCCAGACTTCAAACCATGTAAGACACAGCTCCTTCCAAAAGCTGGATGATGGATGTACATCAAGGAGTTGAAGTTAGTAGCACTTCAGCACAGAACATATGTCACTCAAGTGGACAGGACACTCTTCAGTCTGAGGTCAAAGTACAGAGCATTCTGTGAAGGAGAGATGCTAAAAACCTCATGCTAAAGCAGGGAGTTTATGTAGTACCAGGAAACTGCAAACTAATACTAGATTCCCAGCACCACACATCTGTAGGTTTGTTTGTTAAATGTTTGTTTATTCCACAAGTTCTTTAGCTGCAAAAACATTGACTGACCATTCATAATCTTAATAACCCCTTACATGCAAGCATTCTCAAATTGACTAATCTGTTTTTCAAGTATCTTGATACCAGCTCTTGAGTCTGACATGCAAACAGTTACTTGTTTCTCTGTGTCTGGCTCCCATAAAGTAAAAACTCACAGAAAGAAAACCTAAATCTCACTTGCTATTTCTTCACTGTTTTACGGAAGATAATGTAAACAGTACTTCTAAACTTAGAAATACAATTATAAAAGGATGGTGAAATAACACAAAGAAAGTAAACAAAATGTTCACAGTGCAGGGCATGATAGAACCCATGGGGTAGATCACATGCCTCCACACTTACATAGTTTTAGAAACCTTACTGAGAAAGCAGAAAGCAATGCTACTACAAGAAACAGTACCCTTATACAAAGAAGTAAGTTATTGCATATTTATCACATTTATTTGCAACTCACATTAAGGCTAGATTTACTAAAATCATGACATGTATAAGCCCCACTTTGGGTTGCTTAATGAAGCAACCAGTGTCTCTTATAGAGAACCAACCTTTCACTAAGAATTAAAAAATGACACAGTAAACAGAGGGCAGCCAGCATCTCCTATTCATCTGACATGCTTCCAATGTTTTGAAGACTTCCTCTTGTCTGGGACAGAACTTCCCAAACAGATGACAGATGCTCGAAGTTCACTGTTTCATCAACATCCCCATTATTTCACAGAGCACTAATGAACTATAACTAACTTATCTGAAAAGTCAACTTATTTATAAAAAGATTTCCACAGCCTGATATTTAATTATGCCATAGGAGAGTCTTGTCATCTCCACAGGCAGTAGCAGCCTCAGGATACCAATACAAACTTCTGCCTCACCATGAGTAAAGGCACTTTTGCTGGGAAATCAACTAAAAAAGCACTAAGGAAGTAACTAAAGATCAGTTTTCACCTGAAGCTGAATAACATAACCTCCTCCAGCATTATCCCACCTTCTCAATTACTGTTCTGTATCATTTACTGCTTTGAACGGCCTTTGGATACTTTAAAAAAAACCAAAACAAACAAAACACAAATGTGAGTCAAAGCTAGACTGAGCTATTTCACAATTTGGTCTTGAAAAACAAGGCCCTCAGAACTCTTGTCCTCTAGAAGGAGGAAATGCTGTAATCCCTTTCTCCTGTTGACTGATACAGAAGTTGAGCACTCCCATGGCCAAAATTATTACAGCATTAGAGTTCCAAATCACCTGGTGCCAGGGCAGGTGAATAAACCAGGAGAAAGTTCTAAAGCTATTTCTGAGGAAAAGCACTAGGTAACAGATCAGGTAGGGTAGGTGAAGTAGGGTGGTTGAAGGAAGACTAGGATTTTGGTTTTGGATGATGCATGAGTTGCATAAAAACTCAGTGCATGAGCATACACTACAAGGGTGTAGTTCATTCAACCTATGAAGTTACCAATTAATCACCTCTATTCTAGAGAAAAGTCCATTTTTAAATCTGGGACATACATGCTTGCTATCACAAGCTGCTGTGACAGATTATTTCAGTGCATTTCTATCAATTGCAAAGCACATGCTCAAAACCCATTAACTTGAAGGTGATGTAACAGTTCATCACCTCAACTCTCACTGGTTTTTTGTTCCTCCCCTCCACTCCCACCCCATCTTTGATGTTTTTCCCAAGAAAGCACTGTAGCTGAAATCGACTGAG